TATGGAACAGTCAGAACGTGGGGAGGAAGAGCTAATTCTTGAGACAGGAAGTTCTTTATAGCGGTTAGACTTCTTCATTTGTGTGGACAGAAGAGGCCTACTTCATTCTTGCTGCTGGCTCAATATGTAAAAGACGGCTTGCTGTTAACAAAGCAATGTGTCTTTAATTCAGGGCATATACAGTGCATTATAAACTCTGTGTCAACTTCTTAAATCTGCTGGGAGCTCCTGCCCAGGGAAATTCAGTGGGGGACCGGCTCAGCTCTAGGGCCTCCACAGTCTTCAGTTGGGTTTCTCAGAACTCAGAGTGACTTGTCTTGACGCTAAGGTTTCTGGGATAAGTAGTGATGACAATCTCCAGGTGTCTGTCTAGAGCCACATATGGTATACGGTGTGGTGTAAAAAAAGATTGGAATGTGGACTCAACCAACCTGGGACCAATTATAGAAGGTCACCATTTAGTAACTTTACAAATTGCCTGAGTTCTGATTTCCTTGCCTCTCAAAGAGAGTTTATAATTACATCTTACCTGAAACGATTGCCAGAAGATCAATTGAGAATTGAGAACAGACTTGGCAACCTGTTAAGTGCTTTCCAAGTGTAGTCTTTATTAGTCTCCTGCCTTAGAAGTTGAACTTAAAAGTCCCTTTCAATTTCCCAGCCCTGTGATGTTAGGCTTTCTCCAGCACATCACTCTCCTGTCTCCCGCCATCACCCACAATCTTGAGAGTTGCCTCAGTCCAGTGGGGTGACTTTGTTCTCTGGATGGGATATGGTTTTACATACCTTGATTTTTGTTCTGTGTTGAGCTATGTAGATCCTTGCAGCAACAATGGTCCAGGAGTTTCTGAGTATCTTCCTGCCAAGACTGTATTGTTAGACATGAGGTCAGCGTCACCGTGGCTGTCTGGAAGGCTGGCAGAAGGGGGGGGGGCATCGTGAGCTAGTGCCTGCTGGATGAGGTGTTTCTGTGGGAATGAGTTATATAGGCAAGGCCAAAGAACCAAGTGTTGAGTTTGGCTAATGCCCACTAGAGAGCTGTCAAGACATTAAGGTTAGTTCATGGCTTAAAAATGTCTTGAATATAATTTTTGTCTTTTTTTTTAAACTGTGAGGTACAGGCATATATGGGGTTATGGTTGAGGCTTTTATATCTCAATAGAAACAGGAGAGTTTAATAGAAAGACTGTTTTAGAACCCTAAAACCTAGGTTGAGATGAGGCCTACTGTTAGCTACCTGTGCAACTACAGGAGAATGGTTCCATCGCTCTGATCCCCAGGAGTTCACACATCCATGGAATAAACATGTATGGCTGGGGACAGCAATGTGTATCACATGGCATGTAATTATCCCTGTACAAAAAGGATACACAATTGATGTATAATATATATCTAGGAAATCTCTCAAATCATAAATACACAGCCTCAGAACCATCAGAAACAATCAGACGAGGCGATGTCACAAAGGTGCCTTCACCCCTCCTGGCACTTGCCAATCCCCTCCGAATAAAATCACCGCATCACATGCCCTAAAACCAGAGGTGAGTTTTGCTCGTTTGTGTAGTTCATATGAACACACTGTGCAGTGTGTGTGTTTTTGTGTTTGGCTAGTCTTGTTGGTGCAATTCAGCCACGTTTCATGCGACTCATTTATCTGTAGCTCAAGGTCAGACTGAACTACATTTGCCTTGCTCATGAGCCCTGTGGTGTGAGAATATCTTGAGGTACCCCTCTATCGTCTATGGGTACACAGGTTTATTTAGTTTCTGGTGTGCCCATATGACATTACATTCCACACATTGCTGCTCAGCATGTCTAAGAATGGAATTGTGAGTCCTATCAGACAGACACACACACACACACACACACACACACACGAGTTCATTCTTTTATCTTTAAAAATTGTAATTTTTATTAAAACATATCTTAATAGATAATGCCATGAAAGGGATTAATGAAACTCTGCCTTCCTCTGTCACACTGGGTTAGACCATGTGTAGACTTGGGAATCATGAGTCGTTGTGGGATGGCCAATCAGAGTTTCCGTAGTGGTCATGGTGGTGGTCATGGTAGTGGTCATGGTGGTGGTCATGGTAGTGGTCATGGTGGTGGTCATGGTGGTGGTCATGGTAGTGGTCATGGTGGTGGTCATGGTAGTGGTCATGGTGGTGGTCATGGTAGTGGTCATGGTGGCAGCAGCTGAGAGGCTGGGTGGAGCAGGAGTTCAAGGCCAGACTGAGCTACACAGCACGACTGTTTCAAAACCAAGCTTCCTAGGTAACTAAGTGACAACTGACTGACTGACTGACCGACCGACCGACCGACCGACCGACCAACCAACCAACCAACCAACCAACCAACCAACCAACTAGCTGGGACTGGAGCAAAATGTTTGTCTAAGGCAATAGGGTCCCGTCTCAGAGACTTTTAATTGGGACCAGAATTGGGTTAGTTTGGAGCCTTTTTTCTGAAACTATAAACTGGAGCAAGGAGCTTCCCTGGGGTTGTGTGTGTGTGTGTGTGTGTGTGCCTCCTGACGGTGGGGGCAGGGGCACTCAGGAGAGAGACAGCAGGAGGCTAGGGTGCAAAGGAAACAGAAACCATGTGTGAATTAGGGAGTGGGTGAGAAAATTCCACTTTCTGCCCTTCTCAAGGCTGACCCAGGGTTCTTCCAAGGCCTTGAGACTGACCTGCCCATCCTCACAATGATACCATTGTTGATTGGAGCTATCAGATCACTGCAATCAAAAAAGTCCAGACTGAAACAGCCCAGATCAAAGGTAAGGAAAAGAGGAAGAAACTATTTATAGGTTGTATTTCATTCAATAAACTTTATGGAGCTCTAGTAAAAATGGATTCCACCACCATTTAGATCGTCCATCTTCTTCACTGGAGTAATGTCTGGGAGGACAATCTCATTGCTCTTGGGTCATTCGAATGTTTAATTCTGGCTGTATTAGCAAAGAGCAACACGCAGAGGCAGCTTTCTGATGCACCAGCCTCTAACTAATCATGGTGCTCACGGAGCTGAGGGAGGTGCAGATGGGGAGCTGGTCACAGGGCTAGCGGGCTGTGGAGCACTTACCTTTGGCCTAGATCAGGGACTTCCAAGCTTCCACTTCTTGGTGCTTTAAAGGTTTTACAGGGTTAAAATTTGGCTATGAGCTCAGCAGCCAAGGAAAGAACAGTTAAATAAGTTAGTAGTTTCCAAGTGAAGGGGTATTTATGGAGCCATTAAAGATGACGTCATCAGAGAGGTTTCTAATGATAGGAGAAATTAATTGCATAATAACGTGTAGTATTAACTGGAAAACAGATGTGAAATGTTTTATACAGGGATCCCAACTTTGCTAGAATACTCCTAGAAAAAGGTCCAGAAGGAAATATCTATAATGACCATATTTATATGTTCATAGAGTTGGTCCATATACAGCTTGGTTTTCTGTGTCTCCGACAATACCTTACAATCAGGAAAACTTCAGGATCCAAATATAAATTAATAAATTGTTACCTCACATTCCCAAAGTATGGCCATTCTAAATATGTTCCAGAATTTTCTGAAGTATCTATTTCTGCCCACTGCTAACATCCTGCCTGCTAAAGATGAGGGCATTTAGGATATTTAAGTTAGGGGCCCAGTAGACTGACCTTCTGTGATTTCCTATGGCTGGAGCTGCCTTCCATTCCCAGTGGTGTGCCCACAGCCCCTCTGTCTTCTCAGGATGTGTGGAGCCAATAAGGCTTTGTTTTCCCGAGCCATGAGAGCATGAGAGACAGTCTCCGAAATTACAGAGGCAACGTGGGACCTAATGACTAAAGAATATGGGGAAAGCGAGAGGCTTGAGTGGAAAGTGCTTACTTTCAGGCAGGTCTGAGTGTTGCTGCTGCATGAATAAAACAGTCCAGACAAGTGGATATTGTCTTCATATTTTTCCCATGTGAAAAAAATTAACTTCAAATCAGAATCAATAGAGGTAACACGGCAGCTACAACGGATCCTCCATTCAGGACTAGCTCACAGTTCTGGGTACCATTGTTTCCTGGGTATCTCCTGAGGATGAGATCACATGAAGTATGTTGGGGTAGCCCCCCCCCCCATCCCTTCTTCTGCTGAACAGGCAAGTACAGGCAGCAATCGCAGCATGGTCTCTGTGGTCATATAGATTGCAGTTCTTACGTTGCCAGTCAACCAGGTTATCAGTCAATGTATTGATCAATCACTTACTTCGGTGTTGGAGTCAGGAAATCAGAGACTGTAGCGATCTTCAAAGTATCTCTGCTGAGTGAGTTTTAAGATGTCATTGTCACCTGTCTTAGATCTAGTCTTTTGCTGGATTCTCTGGAGTCAGGGGTAAAGTGAGGGGCAGTCAGGGGAAATAGATGTGGTTAATGTAGACAAAACAGCCGGAGAATATTGAAGAGGCCGAAAGCGTGGGACGGAGTTTAGATTCTGAAGCCATTGTGGGAGCCCTTGCGAGTCGGGTTCCAAAGGTAAGCCTGCATCACCGAGCAGGGCGCGTGCCTGAAAAACGCGTGGTGTGTATGGGAGTGATTGCGAACGTGAATAAATACGCCCGAGGAGAAGTGTGCACGTGTGGCTGTGTGAATGCAAGGGTGTGTGAAAGCATGCATGTGTGATCATCAGGCGGCATGGGATGCAACAGCGTGTGGGGACGGCTTTGAGGAGAAAACCTGGAGGACCTCGATGGAAAGGAGAAAGAGGACCGATGGCTTTGCAATGGTGAGAGGGGCAGCCGGGTAGCCTGCCCAGCGTTCTAGCTGAGAGAGAGGGTGAGGAGGTCGCTCTGAAGACGGAGGAATTTGTCATTGGCTTCTCCTCACCCAGTTTCCGGGTGTGGGAGGTACGGCTTTGTTGAAGTGGGTGTGGCCTTGTTGGAGGAAGTGTGTCTCTGTGGAGACAGGCTTTCCGTCTTGTACATTCAAGCCACACCCAGTGTCTCGGTTCACTTCCCGTTGCCTTCGGGTAAAAATGTAAGGACTTCCTGCTCTAGTACCACGTCTGCCTGCAGGCCGCCTTGCTTCCCGCCATGACGATAATGGACTGAACCCAGTCTGAACTGTGTGTTAGCCCAGTTAAACATTTTTATAAGAGTTGCCGCGTCATGGTGTCGCTTCACGGCAACAGGAACGCTAAGACACCAGGGAAGGAGCTAGATGTGAGGGTGAGAGCTACTGTGCTGCAGCCAGCCAACCTTGGGCCCAGATAGAAGAGATTCTTCTCTTTCTGTGATTGGACTTCAGGTCACCATGAGGTAAGAAAAGAAACATTGTCATGGGGAGAATCTTTAGCCCTGGGTAGAGAGACCTCATCATCTGCGACATTTACTTCAGCCACACAGACAGAGCACTGTGTGAAGCAAGAGTAACAGTAGAAGGAGCTGGCGTTTCTGTCCCATGAGATGATGGAACCATAGAAATGTTTCTGAGAGTCTGAGAGATATCTTTTTGCATTCTTGGGGGGCTTGTGAGGAGCGCCCAGGTCTCAGGGTCTCACTGGGCTTTATGCAAGACCCTGCACTCAGGGGACCTCTTGCAATGACTGAGTAGAACCCTGAACCTGCACAAAGAGGCAGGTGGCCTGGCTTTCCCAGGATTCCTTGCTGGCTCTGGTTGGTGTTGAGTCTGATCTGAGGGGCATAGACTTTCATGAAGGTCAAATGCAAAGACAGCCTTTGCTCTTCCCTGCCCTGCACCGTGGTTGGTGGCTGTGGTCTTAGGTGTACCTGGCAGGAAGCCGACTCTCCGGAGGGGTCCACTCTGTCCCGCATCCACCACATCTGCAACCGTTTGAAAATACAAGTTCCCAGGCCCTGCGTCGACGGCGCCGTTCTCCGTCCTGCACACTTGCAAAGCCCTTCGAGTCGGCAGCTCAGTTTTATAAGGTTGCCACTTCCTGCCCTCACTTTATTACATCTGTTCTTTGGGGCATGGTGTTATAAATTGGGTATGTGATGATGTGTAATCACGAACTGAAAAGCCAATACATTTCCACCGTACCAGCAGCAAGACAAATAAAAGGCAAAATGAAAGCTTGTGCTGTTTCCACAAAGGGAAAGCACACAGCACATATTGAAGGAGAGCAAAACCAGGTTGCAAATTGAAAACGTTATCCTCTTAGGGGTGATTTCTTGGGGGCAGTCTAGCTCATGCGGGGCCTCCTGGGAGTGGGGGTGCCCTGGCAGCCTGGGCTGGGGAGGGTGAAGGGTGCTGCTCTGTTCCTCTTGGGAGTCCCTTCATCACAAAGCCCTGCCACCCCCAGGTGATTGCTCTGGGCATTTGTGTGTTGCTTTGGAGCTAAGATGCCTTGGTTGAGAACAGTTGGTCTGTGGGCAGAGGACGCTGGACCAAGAAAGGCAGTAGGGAGTGGGAATGGAGTGTGGGGTGGGGGTGGGGGTGGGGGTGGGGGTTGGGCAGAACTGGACGGAAGGAATATATTGTGATTTTTTTCCCCCCCTCAGGAGAGGTCCAGGGGAGTACACAGTCCTGGCTGATAATAATGTGTGTAGAACAATGTGGTCCCAGAAAGGCATCAGAAGTGAGCAGTGCAGAATGCCTGCTCTCGGCCAGTGCTGTCACCTGCTCTGGGCCAATGATCTGTCACAGGAGGGACTGAACCCCGTGACCTCTGGATAGGATGAGCGGGTGCACTGGGCATCCTGGCAGAGGTTTTAGGAGAATAGTCTTCCCCCCCATTCATATTCAACTCTGTGGCCTCTAGAAATGTGGTCTGTGGGGAAGTGGAGTTTCGTTCCCTGTCTTTTCTTCCCTAAAGCTGTAGGGAAAATGCAATAGAAGTAAGGATTGGGGAGTTGCATTTTGAAATCGATTAAAGAAAAAAGATTATAGGAATAATATATATTGTCAGTCTACAAAAGGTTATAGAGTTTTTGCCAGAAAAAAAAAAATAAAAGAGAGAAAAAAAATCTTTAGGCCGAGTAACTAATAACGTTCGGGAAGCTAAGATGAATGTGAGCAGAGGTAAGGGTCTCTCGTGAAGAGTTTGGCTTTGCGAGCATCCTTGGCATCTGATCTTTGGTCGTTCTTCCATCACATGAAGCAGCAGTTGTAATAATAGGACTCAATTACATCACAGGGCTCCTATGTGCAGCAGAGCTGTGGGGGCGAAGAGCCCAGGCTTGGGCTGGGTCAAGGTTATACATTCATGAGAGCTCCTTTGCTAGGGCCCTCTGATTTTCATTCTTTCCTTCTTTCTCCGTCCCTCCCTCCCTCCCTCCCTTCTTCCCTCCGTCCCTCCTTCCCTCCCCCTGTCCTTCCCTCTGTCTCTTCCTCCCTCTGTCCCTCCCTCCTTCCCTCCCTCTTTCCCTTCCTTCCTTCCTCCCTTCCTCCTTCACGTAGCAGATATCAGAATCTCTGTTTCAGGGCCCTCATGGCTGATTTGCAGTGGACTGTGGGGATTGTATGCCCACAGTCTTGACATCAACCCCTTTTTAGTGGAAGATCCTGTGGGCCCTCAGATTATCAGGGCTGTTCATTTTTCTGAACAGGGAAACCCGAACAGCTCCACAGAACCAGCCACCTGTGGCCCATGCTGCTATGGACTCGTCAATACTGGCCAGAACAGGAAAAGAACCCTGATTTTATATTTTCAGACCAAACTGGATCTCAGAAGATGTAACTTCAAGCTCCTCCCTTGTTGACCCCCCCGTTTGGTTTCTTAGGGACTTTGTGTGGGAGTCAGGACACATGCTCCTATTACCCCAGATTGAACAGAGGGAGACTGAGGGTCCATCAGGTTGTCCAGGCCCCTCAGAGGCGGAGCCAGGATAGGACAAAGGCCTTTCGAGGTCTGCTTGGCTCTTCTCTGGCCTGTCCTGTGGAGCTTCCACAGAGCGGAAATCCTGGAAACGGCAGGCCGTTTAAGGTCAAGAGTGTGTAGCTAGGACGGCAGCACACCTGGCTTCTGGAGCCTTCGATTTGCTGCTGTGCAAGCCTGGTTTCTGGTGAGTCTGCCTGTCCTCATGGCAGCACAAAGTAAGCCCTGCCGACAATCCGTTTGATCCCTGCATAGGGCACTGGGTTTTAGTGCTGTCTTTGGGACGATATCTGACAACCGAGGAGGGAGCTACGCTCACCACTATCCCACCAAAGCTGCCCTGCCAGACCGGACAGCTGGCTGCCATTTTCTGAGATGAAGATAGTTTACGCTATGACTTATTTATTTCCGATTTTCTGTTTGTGTTTTGTTCGTTTGTTTGTGCTTCCACCCCGCCCCCTTCCCCGAGACAGGGTTTCTCTGTGTAGCCTTGGCTGTCCTGGAACTAGCTCTGTGGACCAGACTGGCCTTGAACTCAGAGATCCACCTGCCTCTGCCCCCACCCCCACCCCACAGTGCAGGAATTAAGGCATGGACCACCACCACCACCTGGCTAATTTAAGTTTTTTAAAAAAAGACGCAGCTTGTTCTCATTAAGCTCATTAAGACCCATGGCCCAGACCTACAGGCCTGCAGAAGCCAAAGGTACCGCTCCTGCTCTGAGATCCAGGCTGCTTAGATCTTGTCTGTTCTGTTTTTTTGTTTGTTTGTTTTTGTTTTTTAAATATCAGTTTGCACAAGTTCTTCATCAGTGACTGAGTGGTAAATAGGCAGGGACCATTTTGTATGAATTTATTTTTCAAAGTTGAAGTTTGGAGCGAATTATTGAAGTGACTGGCCCATAAGGATAATAAATCAACAATTAGAAGTGATACCCGTTGTCAAAAAGCAAAAGGCCAAACGATGACATAATAAAGATGACGGATTGGATCAGGAGTCAGCGAACTTTGACCCTTGGGGCACATCCTGCCTGGAACCTGTGTTAGTAAATAAAGTTTTATTGGAATAGAGCCAGGCACATGGGTTTACGTAGTGTGTGTGTGATTGATCTCATGCCATAGTAGAGTCAAGAAACTCACAACAGAGACTGTTATGGTCCACGTAGCCTAAACTATTTCTCATCTGGCCGCTGGCAGAAAGTGTTTTCTAGCCTCTGCATTAAATAAAGATCCATCATTTTCTTGTCAAAAGAGCTTAAACGACCAGGAAGAAGCTAAGCAAGCTATGGCACAGTTCTACTGCTACAGGCCGACCTTGCAGGCTGCCATTTTCTGTTGCTAAAGCCCCAGCCTGGAGGCTGCCATTTTGCAAAAGCTTCTTTACTTGTTATAACAAACTAACACTGATTTGAATTGCATGTGTTGGAGGCCAGTGAGACAGCTTATCTTATAAACTTTTTTATAGTTATATTTTTAAAACATTTGTTTATATGACTATCCATAACAGTAGCAAAATTACAGTTATGAAGAACCAGCAAAAGTGGTTTTATGGCTGGGGTCACCACCACGGGAGGAACTGTATTACAGGGCCACAGTCTTAGGAAGGTTGAGAACCACTTTAAAAGGACAGAAAGCCTTGTGCCCTCTTGGCTTCCAGTCTGGAAACAAGCTTGGCAGCCTCCTCAGGACCGGAGGAGCCCTTGAGCTCTGTTGGGAGTGCTGGCGGCACAGATCGGAGATCTCTCACTGTTCCGGTAATGGTCTAAGGTAGCTTCCTGATGGGGGGGACCTCCTGATGGGCTGCTGCAGCCCCTCAACTCCCTGCCTCCCACATGTGTCCTCCCTCACCTCTTCTTCACCCTCCAGCTCAGTAGGCTACCTCCAGGCCCTGGCCTCCACTGCTTTCTCCTCCTGTTGGTTGGTTGGTACCATCCAACATCTGGGAACTGCCAGTTCAGCCTTCGCCTCCCAGTGCGCTCCCTGCCCCGCCCTTGTTTTTAGCAGTCAGACTTCCCCAGGGCTCAAGCATGGAGCATGCCTTTCTGAACACTGTCATAATTTTTCTTTCATTTGTAGCGTTTTTCTGTTCCTCACCCTCCTGCTGCCTTGTATTGGGTGGGAAGTCTGTCAATAATATTTTATTTTTTGGTATATTTAATCTCGGTATCTGACATCTAATAGATACTCAGTAAACACTCGCAGAAGGATGGAAGAATAGACGTGAATGATGAATGATGAATGAATGAATGAGTGAATGAATGAAACAAAGAATTCCAACGCTAGGTGGGTGGAAAGGCCCTATTAGCATCATTGGAAACAGAACATACTGGAATAAGGCCTACTTGGACATTCCTAAAATAGACCTTGATCCAACCTCTGGGTAATTAGACCTCTCCGGCCTCCAGGAGGTTACTGAGGGTACACAGTGGTACCCAGAATTCAGACAGTCATAAGAAGAAATCCAATACTGATGGAAAGC